ATATGATATATATATATATATATATATATATATATGATGATGGCCAGATGCATATACATAATCAATACGTGGTTGTATAGGTAACTAGACATGACAATTGATAGTTGGTCAGACTTATTACTTGATATTAAATATATGTTTTCTGTCCAATAATAATAATAATAACTAATATTTATCAAAATACCTTTAAAATAATATACCATGAGTGAATAAATGTAGAAAGAAGAACTTGTTAATCGCGCATAAAATGTTTCGAACTATAACCAGTAACTATGTACATATATTTCAGGCGTGTTACAAAATATTTTAAAAAAGAGAATTTATAGAATATGTTTTATGAATGTTTTAAACGAGTCTTGATGAAAAAGCCCGGCATTGGTAAGTAGTTAAGGCGTTTGACTCGCCATCTGAGGGTCAAGAGTTCGAATCTCCGTCCTACCAAACATTCTCGCCCCTTTCAGCTGTAAGGTCGTTATAATGTGACGATGAATCCAATTATTTGTTGGTAAAACAGTAGCCCAAGAGTTAGCGGTGGGTGGTGCTGACTAACTGCCTTCCCTCTAGTCTTTCACTTGTAATTAGGGACGACTAGTGCAGATAGCCCTCGTGTAGCTTTGCGCGAAATTCAAACCTTGATGAAAACACACACACCCAAAAGCGATATATTTATTACCCATCAGGTCTTAATGTAGTTACAAGTATGATAATAATTTCTCTACTTTTCCCAGTTCTTGTATCTATATAGTGTCTAAACACCTATTTTAGTTCATTCCTTTAAGCAAAAATAAAATTAAATCCAGTGACATTCGACAGACATTTTTGGCCTGTATATTTGCTATTATTTTACAGCACGAAATCCCAATGAAGGAATATGTAAATATAGTTTAGTCTGAATTTTTTTATATATTCCTCACAATTCCTATCTAAAACTTTTAATACATTTCTCATATTTCCTATTTAAAAACTGTGTCTTATTCTTTGGTCTGAGTGACTAAAACTCTTAATATTTTCATACCCTTTTCTGACTATAATACCTCAAATATATTATTCTTGCGCCTTACTAAAACGCCTCACTTTAAATTCAATAACATTAATATTTATTAAACCTCAATAAAGCTATTTGAATACTTAAATACTGTCGAAGCTTTTGATGCATATTTTGTTTTAATCTGCTAAAGTTAAATTTTACTGTCTCTCTAAAGTCCTTAATACATTATTTACTTTATTATATTAAAACTGGTTAGTTATATTTTATTTTACCCTAAATTTATTGATGTACTTTTTATGTTGATCTAAAAATAATCTTGAAACATGCCATTAATTTATAAAATGTTTTTCATGGAACAAAATTCATGTCTCCGAAAACATGAACCCCTGACAAAAACAAACTATATTTATATATATAGAATGTTTATGTTTTATTTTTAAGTTATCGTGTTTTGTTTTTCTTACAGTCCAAAGTAATTCAATAGCATAATTGCAGTAAAAGTTATGAGTACCTTGTAATGTGTAATACCACTCAATGACCTTTCTATATTACTGGTGGGGAAAGCAACTAGAGTCGTCAGCTGGTGGTGAGATAAAATGTCAGTAGGTGCTTTGTTTTATACACCGTAAACAATTTGTGAAGCTTTGCGTAAAAACAAAATAAAACGTATCATTCTGCTACCATAGTACCATGTATAGAATTACACACGAACACGACATGTTAAGCATTATATCTAAAACGCATGGGTCCGAGTGGTTCGCGTGACCGGACTGTAAACCTAAGGGTTCGTGGTTCGCATACCGTTGCTGCAAAAATCATTCAGCTCTTGGGGGATGTGGGTGCGCTATACTGATGATAATAGAATCCCATTATTCGATCAAACAAGAGTAGGCCAAAGTTGACGGTGGATGCTGATGATAAACTACCCTGTAGGTTCAAAATTATTGACGGTTTTACGCAGTTAGAACTTTGTGTACCCACAGGTGAAAAGTAGACAAAACCAAACAAATATCAGTATATATTACACAAAGTAAGTTTGTAGAACATTTTAAATGGATAAAATGTATAGTTTAGACATACTTTATTTTACTTCTACATAGAGTGCCAAAGAGAGGAACGATTTGTTATAAAACACGATATTTGTATTAATATAGTGTTGCGATATTTGAAATATATAATTACATTTTGCTGGAAAACAGGAATTGTGTCCGTCTGTCATTTATTTACTTTTTTTCGTATTCATATTATTTTTTCTTTGATAAACAAGTAACAGAACATAGGGAGAACATATTATTTAATAATTCTGGGAAATTCTAACGAAGCATAGATATAGAACATGTGGCATTCAATGAAATTGTTTAAGCAAGTAAATAAATATACTGCAGATATCTGCAATTTGATCGTCTTGAAATATTTAGAGATAAATTGGCATTGCAGTTGCTATTTGCTTATTCTTTAAAATTGCAAATTGATCCAAAAGATATC